CGACCGTTCCGTTGGGTCAATCCAGGGGTCATCCATTCGTGGACGCCCGAACTGTGATTGTTATAATTCCAAGATCTCTTCTGGAGGGCGCTCTTTCTCTTGGGTGAAGATCCCTGCTCTTACAGTCGAGTAAAAATAGTTCTTTGCGGATGCTTGATCCCCTCGGATCTCCATGATCCCTTCTGGCGTAGCAAATTTTAATTTTTGGTGATAAGTGGAGTGTACCGCTCCCAGGGCATACAACCATGCTCATCTCATGATCACATTATAGGGAGAGTCCATACCGATCACCACAAACTCTGTATTAATGGTAAAGGGACCTATGACGACTGACAATGTGATTTTACCTATGGGCAAGGCGAATGAGCCGTTAAATCTGACGAGAGGCGTCCTGACCTTGGTAAGGTCCTTGAGGCCGAAACTCTTTTGCTTTAAAGTATTTGAGTACATCACTTCCAAGGAACTCCCGGAGTCCACCAACACCCTCTTGACGTCGAACTTGACTATTTTCAGGGTTATGATCAGGGCGTCGTTATGGGGAGTCACCACGCCCGCCAAGTCCGCATCGGAGAACGTGATGCCTGGCTCGGCAATCTTGGTCCTTTTGTTGGGCGGCCCCCCATCACTCTCAGTAATCTTTCTCGTAAATGCTACTCTCTTGAGATCGAACTCGAGTTCTTTGGACGTTGGGCGATCCAGTGGACATACATGGATCACGTCTATGACATTGTCTAGCTCCCCAGCCGGGGCGAGGACGTGTCTCTCTTCCGACTCAGGTTCTATGTATTCTTTTAAGTAACCGTCCCGGACCAACCTTTTCAAGAAAGACTTGTATACTCTGCAACTTTCGGTGCGATGACCGAAATTCCGGTGATAGAAACACCTGACCTTTTGATCACGGGTGGAAGGATCGCTCTGCATTCTGAGCGACCACTTGAAGAATGGTTCATACTTGATCTTGTGTAGCAACTTGTAGATGGGTTCTTTAAACATAGTCTGAACACCTTTGAATGACCCCCCCGAAGGGGGTAGCATCCCCTTTCGAGAAGTATCCTCCCGCTCCCTCTCTTTTCTCTTAGGTTGGAGGGTTCTGCCTTTGTTGCTTCCCATTTCGTCCTCGATTCTAGAGTATTTGTTTATTCGAACCATCAGCTCGCCCATATCCGAGGAAGTTTTTTTGGTCAGGGATCGGTACAGGTCCGTGTCCCTTGCCAAGCCGAACCTGAAAGACGCCGCTGCCATGACTTCTAAGCAGCCCTTTACCTCATTAACCTCTTCCCAGTACCGGGTGGCGTACTGGCGAAGGGTCTCGGATTCCCTTCATCTGAGTGTTAGTAATGATCCAACGTCTTTAGGCCGCTTACTCCCCGTAATGAATTGGGCTAGGAACTGCATCGTCAACTCTTTCCATGATCCAATGCTGTTGGGGGAAAGAGCCTCGAACCACTTCATCGCAAAGTCCCCCAAGCTCATGGAAAACACTCGACAGAGGAACCGTTGGTCTGAATGATACAGGGACATCATTTGCTTGTATTGCCTGAGGTGAGCTTCGAGATCGGACCGCCCATCATAAGTTTTGAACCTCGACACAACGAACTTTTTTGGAACCTCCATCTCTCCGATATCCCTAGTAAAGGGTGATTGTATTACCCCATCTTCGACATTATCCTGGACAGTCTTACTCTTTCTCCTGGATTCCAACCGAGCTCTGAGATCAATTTCCTTCCCAACGGGATGTCTTCTGAGGTCTCCGGGTTCATTGATTGGGTTCCCCTTTTCTGGGCATCACGTGGAAAGGGTTGAAACCTCCTCAGACTTGTCTCCCTTCCTCCACCTTGACAGCCCTCGTCGGAGGTCGTCCGGGGCTAAAGGCCTTGCCTTCCTGAAATAGTCGTCGAGGGGGTGCTCGTTGGCTCTTGGGCGTTTCGGGGCCCTGGAGCCTTCAGCCTTGTTATTTAAATGATCCCTCAGGTCCTCAGTTTCTGCTTCTCGGGCGGGGAGTCCACAAGAAGGGAACGAGTCCCTCGACCCTTCGCCGGAGGTGGCAAATTCATTGAGCCGGCTTAGGACATTCACATTGTCTTTTTTCAACTGTTGTAATCGATCCCCAAACTTTTATTCAATCACCTCCGCCAGTTGACGAGCCAAGGGGGCAGATTCTCCTGACCTGATGCCCATATTGGTTTGAGGAGTAAGCCCCCTTGACTGAATAGAGACATTTCTGTTATCATCAGCGCGACCCTTCCCTCTATCATGACGAGGAGCTTGCAAATTGAGGCTTCTTTGCTGGGGACCTTTCCCCTTGTGTCGAGTATTCACCATGGTCCCTGTCCTTTTTAGAGAAGAAACTAGAAAAACTAGTCATTTCTCATAGACGACGTCAGATTGTGCGTGCAGGATCTTGCACAATATAAACACGAGAACAGATTTCTCCCATGGTGAACTCGAGTCAGTAATCGAATGGTCAACCTTGCTGTTCAGAACAGATTGTAAGGTCCGGTGGTGGCCTGGAACGGTAATGGGTGACTTTCTTGGATAAACGGAGCGGTCCAGTAAGGCTGAGAGAGCTTCCTGGAACAGAAAAAATGAGTTAGAAGGGCGTCGGAGTGTTTTTTTGGCGTATCCCCTCTGACGATCAAGTCAGTTCTTTAAGAGAGGGGAGGGAGAAAACACTGAATTTCTTTGAGAAAAATGTTTTTTGTTGCATACCATCTTGCCTTTTATGAGGAGTATTTATACCTCAAAAATTCATGATTGCTGTCAGTGTGGTCAGTAGGTAATCATTAGATACGAGCAACGTGCGCACTGATTCCTGCGAGGATTGTCTTCTCTCTTAATTTCTCGGGACCCCGAGCAACCAATGCTTCGTCATCGGCCTGCCAAATGTTTAATGAGCTTCTCTCGGTAAGGATGTAATAAATGCCCAGTCATGGGGACATTTATTACCTTTCACTTCCGAGTCTTCCTGCATTAAATGATATCCCATCAAGGAAATGGTGCACTTTGCTTGCTTTCCCAAGTCGTGTGTCAGCAAGGGTATCTTGGTCTTTTTGTCTCTGATCTGACACAATATGTCACTCGCCCATTCCCCATTGGTTGTGTCTTGTGCCTTCTGACACCAATTGTGTAAGACGAGGTTATGATGGCTAACCTAGCCTAGCCTAGGCTAGTGACCTGTACATCAATAGCCTCTACAGGAGTAGAGAACGTCATCCTGGACGGGTACATCTCGGTACCGAGGGGAGTGGAACATGTAGGGGCCAATGTACCCATATCCGACCGAGGGATACGTGTCGGTACGTAAACGTATTGGGTGTCATTGATCCTTATAAACAGTACCTCGGGGGAAGAGGGACTTGTTAACCGACAGATACATATCGTGATCACAGTAATAAGGATTTACTGATGTCGAGGACACGTGTTTTCATCTTGGAGTATTCGGAAATGTCCCATCAAAAACAAATGTCACGAGACCAAAAATTAATGATCGAAAGCTGGGGGAGCAAAGTGTCATCAAAGGAAAGCTAGTATAATGATTTGAAAGGGACTAATACTTGTGTCTACTTCAAGCTATGTATTAGTTGTCTAGGTTGGTTTTGAATCATTTGATTCATGAAGGGTTACAATGGTTGAAAGAAAAAATATCAAGATATATGTTTATCAAACTATAATATTTGATTGGGGATACATATTCTTGGAATGCATTTACATATATCAATATTTAACATGATTCTTGAATGATATCGAAGAAGTTTGTACAAGATGAAGATCGACAGGAAAGCTTGCTGCATTATTTGTGTTTCGTTTTTATTCAATATCGTGTTGTCTTCGCTACTCAAACTGATTTACAATGATTAATATGAAGACAATGGTGGCAATTTACTTAGTTTGCTGCTGCTAGTATTGATATGGTTCTGCCATCAGTCGGGAAGATGATCAAGCTCGTTACTGCTGTCTAGTTATTAGAGTGTTTGGATGATTCTGTTTTACAGATTTAGAATTTCATTATTTGGCATTTTGTTTGCTAAAAAAGTCTTGAATTGGTCATTTGCCAACTTGGTAAATATTCAGAGGAATCTTCTTTGTTTTCTTTAGCTATACTTTATCATGAAAACATTCCCTCCAAAGCAAAACATGAAGAAAAAAAATATTCAGATGAGTAAATACTGATGTTAGTTTAAGTTGAATCGATAGAAACCTTAACCATTCTATTCACCTAGGTCAAATAATCGATAAAAACCTTAATCATTCTATTCACCTAGGCCAAAAATCATCTGTTTTTCCACCACCCTTGTGTCGTCTTTGGCTTATTTTCGCAATAACTTCAAACTCGATGCAGCCGTTGGTGTTCTCAGCACATATGCAAACTGCTCTTATTTCTAGCTTCTCTCCCTGCAGTCCTTTATGGTTTATTTGACAAGAGTCTTACATGCTATATTTATGCAAGAATCTATTGTCCATCATGTAAAGTTTAATTCACTTGATCTACCCCTTATCACATACTAAGAAAATTATGGCTTGGAAGCACAAGGGCCTCTAGAATTATGAAGCCAAAGAGTATGTCAAATAAAAAATCAAAATTCAAGTCAAAAGAAAACTTGAATTGCAATAACAAATCCGTAAGTTGTTGGATATAGACTAAGAGAACCTTTTGAGATTAAATTTCAAAACTCCTAGCAATACAGGTTTTGACCGAAAAAACTAACATATGAAGTTAATTGGCCAACAGAATCACTTGATCTGGTCGACCGCCGCCACAGTCACTTACCAACAGATCAAAGGGAATTATGGCTTGGAAGGCCATATGGCATCAAGACTGTAGAATTTTTAAGTCAAAAGAGTTTGTAAAAATAATCAGAACTCAAACAAAGGAATTCCAAACTATATGATGTTTTTGAATATAGACCAACAAAGAGAACCTGGANTAAGTCAAAAGAGTTTGTAAAAATAATCAGAACTCAAACAAAGGAATTCCAAACTATCTGATGTTTTTGAATATAGACCAACAAAGAGAACCTGAGGTGCTTAAATTTCAAACTCTGAACAATATAGTTATTACAGTCACAGCTGAAAATTAACATACAAATATGAGAGGAATGCCCATATGTATTGAAATAAAATTGGGCTAATCAAAGTGCACAGAGTTTGTACGCAGTTGAGAATTACAATTGACAAGTGCCTACTCTGTACAACTGTTCTTGACAAGCATATTATTGAAGTACCCACAAAAATACCTACAGGGAATCATAGGAGAGAGAGAAAGAGAGAGAAAAAAAAAGTACTAAACCAAGGCGTCGGCTCCAGCAACAATCTCCAATATCTCTCCTGTGATTTTGGCTTGGCGTTGCCTATTGTACACAATAGACAGAGTCTTCTTCAATTCCATTGCATTATCGGTTGCACTGCTCATGGCACTCATTCTAGCTGCAAGCTCACTAGCCAGTGACTCCTGCAATGCCCTCAAGATTTGACTGTTGAGATAAAGAGGCAACAAAGCATCAAGAATCTGAACTGGGTCTTGTTCGAATTGCAAAATAGGCGAAAAATCGACAGTCTCAGTCCTCACAACATCTCTCTCAACTGTCAATTTTCCCTCCTTTGTTGTCAATCTAAAAAGCTCATCCTCTGCTGCATCAACACAATTTCCATTTATATCACAAATCTCTCCCTTTGGTGACAATGGAAGCAAAGTATGAATCACTGGATCAGACTTAACCAATGAAACAAATTTGGTGTACAAAAGCTCAACTTTATCAACCTCCTCACTCACAAAAAGGGAAAAAACGTCGTCCGCGATCGCCTGAGCTTCCTTGGCAGTGGGAAGAGAACTACCTTCAAGAAACTTATCTACTGGAATATAAGGCCTACGAAGAAAATATGAATTACCCTTTTTACCGACACTGATTACAGTATAATCAACGCCAAGACCTTTCAATTCTCTAATCCGGGTTTCGGCTTTTTTGATGATTGCATTGTTGAAACCACCACAAAGGCCACGATCACCGGTAACAACCACCAGAGCCACCTTCTTTACTGATCTGATATTGGTGAGAGGAACGTCTATGTCTTCAGTTTGGAGCTGTTCATTGATGTTATAAAGAACTTCAACTAGAGTTTCAGAGAAGGGTCTAGCATTGACCACAGCTTCTTGAGCTCTTCTCACTTTAGCAGCGGCCACAAGCTTCATAGCCTCGGTGATTTTCTGGGTGTTCTTTACAGATTGAATGCGTTCACGAAGCTCACGAAGACCACAGTGAATTGGGTTCACTGCTGATGATCTAGAGGGGTTGGAAGTGGGTGAACTATGGTTTGGAAGCTGAAAAGGGTTGAGGAAAGAGCGAAAGGAGAGAGAAGAAGTGTCAGAGAGTGAAGGTTTTGAGGAAACCCACATGGTAAGATTTGAGCAAGACATGGTTGCAGTACTTCTTTGGGACCTGCAAAATGCTCAATCTTGGGAGAGAAGAGGGTCTGTTATGTGAGTTTGATCTTATCCCTAGAGCGGTTTTGCTGGTTTTGGGGTGAATTCTATTGGCATGGAGGAGAGGAGGGGAATGAGAGGTGGAGGGAGAGATAGGGAGGGAGTGTTTGGATGAGGTTTTGGGATAAGGATTTTGACCGTTGGAGATTGCGATCCGCGAGAAAACTTGTATTTGGAAGTGGGGGTTTTGGCAAGTTAATTATCATTTTGAAGTGTAATCTTTTGAATGAGAATATCATGTGGTCA